AGCGACGTGGCGGTGGTGGCGGGTGTCCTCCCCGGCTGACGGCCCGCCGTCCGGTCTCCCGCGCGCTGCCTCCCCGCCTGCCCGCCACCACCCGGGTCGCCATGCAAAAAGGGTGATGCTCGTATCAGCTGATGAACGCACACTCAGCCCACCCCGCCCACGCCGCCCGCACGCACACGCACTCAGCCCACCACGCCCACACGCCACCACCACGTCCTCGCCGAAAGCCCTCCGAGGGCGTCTTCGTGCAAGGTATTGAGGGTTTCGTGGGTGGGGGAATGGGGGAGGAGGGAGGGGGGGGGGTTGAAGGAGAGAGAGAGAGGAGGTGGTGGATGAAGGGGGGAGGGGGAGGTGGAGGTGGAGGGAAGAAGAGGGAAGGAAGGAGAGAGAGAGAGAGACTTTCTGAGGTTCTGTCGCATGTAATTCCCCGTCTTCCTCGCCAGCGCCCTTCCCTCACTACCTGCATGAACGCCCTTTCTGTCCCTCTCTTTCTCTTTCTCCTCTCTCTCTCTCTCTCACTCACTCGTCAGCTGATCTCGCCTTTCACACTCGACAACCCAACCAACTCACCCTGAACAACCTCTCTTCTCCGTAATAAAATAAAATAAAATAAAAATTACCCAAGCCTCACGTACGCACACACGTACATACACACACAGAAAGAGCCATACACAAACACACACATACTTCCCACCCTCCCTGCACCCTTGCACACACGCACACGCACGCACACTCACCCTTACGGCACAATCACGCTCGGAAAACCCACCCTAGCTCTCCTCACCCTAATGGTCGGACTACGAGAAGGGAAAAAAAACTTTCATATTTACCTGTGTGTCGCTTCTGCCGGCCTCCAGATCCGTGCGGCGAAGGGCGTAGGTCCTAGAGCAGAGGCTGGCGATGGGCGTGGGCGTGCGGGCGAGGGCGAGGGCGTGCGGGCGAGGGCGTGCTGGCTAAAATAGGTGGGTGTGTGGAAGGGAAGAAGCGGCCGCCGGTATCGACCAAGAGGAACCTCCGCCTGGCGAGAGTGGTCGAGCCGAGTCGCCACCTCCTCCGCCGAGACCTCGACGACTTGCGCCTCTTCTGCGGTTCCTCGGAGCACCACCGCCGACACAGGCCTCACCAAGGAGGGCAACAGAGACACCTTAAGAGCACTGTCGGGTCGAGGAGTTCCTTAGAGCGAGGCTGGCACGCGGATTTGCGAGTTCCATGACAAAAAGTGCGCGACAGTCACCAGGCGCGACTAACCGATCTCACCGCCAGCCAGTTTACAACTATCACCTCGAATTCACCTTTAAATTTTCACTTCCCCGCCGTTATTTTGCACTCACATCACACACTGCACTTTGAACCAGGTCCTGCGCGTCATTTTAAGCACATTTTCGGCACTGGACCCTTGAATTTGGGCGAGAAAAGCGTGCGGGAAGCCACCGAGCGTCCTCCAAGCCGCGGTACTCGAGTGTGTGCGGCGCTGAACAAGGGAGTGTGGCGGGGGCGCTCAGCCACACAACATCAGCCTTTTTTATCCCTTATTTCTCCCTTCCTATTGCTCGTGGCTCCTTTCTGGGGGACTGGAGATACACTCTGATTTTCGGCTGACATTCCGCGTCGAGTAGATACTCATGGTTGACCGAAAATGGATAGAAAAGAGCATGTAAAAGTGATTAATCAGGTTGGTTAGCGCGGGTTTGGGCGCCAGATGGCAGCAGAGCGCAGCCGGGTGCATTCGCGGGACCCGTGCCAGACGTACGATTCAACGGCCCAACCACCGCACATCGATCCCCTAACAAGCGCTTCCTCTCGTGCCTCGTCGTCACCTGGACGCCGACGGGTGCGTGGGCTGGGACACACTTAGGGCACGGTGATGAGGCAAAGGGCGAGGTAGAAGAGTGTGGGCAGGGTCCGGCAGCGCGCCACGGACGGCTCGAGGGTTTTCCAACGCCGGCGGAGGAAGACGTGATCGATGCGAACACTCGGCCGCCGCCGTCGATCCACGGGCGACTTTTCATAAATTAAAAGCGCCTGTGACCGATTTCGGTGGCGGGTTGGCACTCGGTCGCCGATCGCCACGACGACCCGCTCGGGCTGACGGAGAGCCCGAAAGCCCAGCTGGAAAGGAGGCTGAGATCTGTGATTTTTTCGAGGGGGGTAGGGAGGAGGGAGAGACAAGTCGAAAGAAAAAGCTATGAAAGTTCTGGTATGACTGCGTAGTGTGCAGCTGTTTCGTTGACTCAGCCAGCGAACCCCAGTCTCTCTCGCTCCACCTCGCACCACCACCCGTCCTGCTCCTCCACCACGCCACCCCCCCACCCGTCCTGCTCCTCCACCACGCCACGCCACCACCCGGCCCGCTCCACCACGCTACATCGCACCACCCCGTCCACCACGTTACCACGCCACCTTGCCCCCCCCCCCCCACCCGCGGCTCGCTCCACCTCGCTATCACCACCTCCCGGCCCGCTCCACTTGGATATCCTCACCACCCGACCCACTCCACCAC